CAAAATAAACAAAAATTTTACGAATTTGCTGATTTGCACTTGGCGAATTACGACACTGTTTTACGAAATACTGTTTATGTTTATGTACGTGATGGAATGCATAACTTTTTTTGTTTCAACAACGTCTCACCCAGCACAGTGGTCGTAAACTCTTAAATATATTTTACGTAGTAATAAAAATATAACTTGACATACGTATTTATAAATAATTTATATTCAAATTACATCATTTCTATAACCAAGGGCGGCGTAAGGCATGGACGACGTGGGCCACCGCCTATGCCTCGCGGTCCGAAGGGCCTCGCGCCTGGAAGGTTTATGCATTACTTAAAAGCCGTGAACGCGACGAAAAAGTTTTACTCGTCATAAAACGATAAATAGTTTGTCAAATTTTTATTCATAAAAATGCAGTTCAACTGCTTTTTATTTTATAAAATCCGTCTTCTTGCGCCACCAGAAGGCCTTTTAAACAATAGGTAGTCTGGTAGCGTTGGTCAGTAGTAGTCCAAATTCGATACGAACGTTTGTTTCTTGAAAATTTGATCACTATTTAAATACAGTATTTACTTTTAATATTACCGATATGTCATCGAAAAGAAAACGTGTTGTATTATCATTAAAAGACAAATTAAAGTATATGCTTCCATTATCCGGATTTTTCCTTATCCGGACTACCTTCATCCCCAATTAGTCCGGATAATCGAGGTTCTACTGTATATTGCAAGTTGTATCTTATTTGCTGTAAAATATGAATATTATTATTAATATTTATCTGATATTCTTGTTGCAATATTACTGTAAGTTAGCTTTTGATTACTTATCTTTATAACCAAAAGTTAACAATCTCAAAAATCCTATTTAATTAAAATACTTTTGTTAAGAATAAATAACTAGAAATCAAATGAAATTGTTTTTTTTAATTGGAAGCTTTTCGATTTGACTAAAAATTGAATAAATACATAATTGAGTATTATTTAATTCTGATTTGGATTTCAGTTGTACCAAAAAGCTTTAAATAATATTTTTGTACTAAAGCCAACCACTGCCATATGTCATTGAGCTATATAACTGCTATAATAATAATAAATTGCCAAACAATTTGATACTAAAGGGAGGCATTAGTCACCATCTCATAATAAATTTAATAATTATAATTTTTTTAATTAAATAATTTAGATTAATGTTTGGTAATTTATTATTATTATAGCCATTATATAGCCCAATGACATATGGCTGTGGTTGGCTTTAGTATTATAATGTGTTGGGTTTTTGTAGAGTTGTTTGTTAACATTTTTGTTGTAAATATTTGAGTAATTAAAGTTTTATGTAATTATTTTAACTGTACTCCTGCAAAATATATAGTTTATTACAAATAAATGAAATTTAATATTTATAGCAACTAAAAATCACATATTTTCTATGAAGTAATTTGAAATATAGCTGTTATAAAAATAGGAAATTTCAATAGAGTCTACCCTATATCATCGATTGGCTTCCTTATATTACCTAGTTTAAAGTCTGCTATCAATATTAATTATGTCAACATTAAAAATAAAACAAGTTCCTAGAGAATGATTTTAATATTCATTTTATAATCTGTTTAATTTTTTAATATTGATTTAGATAAACTTATCTCACATCAGATAACATTATAAGTCAATGGTATATGTAGTTAAATAAAATGACATTATTTTTTCCAACGTTGTGTAAATATTTATTGTGATACAACTGTATTGCCAATAAAATCAAAATGGGAACAATTTGGATAAGAATGATTTTAATACCAATTGTCAAAATACTGGTTTAATACATTAAAAATTTTTGATCTTTCATTTAAGTTCTATCAGCTAAATGTGGCAATGTCCATTATAAATGGAAGAAAATGTTAGTTACGGTAAAATTTTTTGTTTTGCTGATTGTTGTTGTGATTTAAGAATAATTTTTGAAAAAATTTACACAATTAAATTTATTATCAAATTTAAAAAATATGTTCTTGATGAATTATTTTTTAAAAGTGGATTGTTGCCAAAATTTATAATTTTGAATTTTTAAAAAATTTTTATGAGTTAATGACAAATGGATGATGATTACTTAAAATGTATTGTTTTGATAAATAACAGATGTTAATTTTTATATTTTCAGACCTGTTTTCCGATGCAGAATCAATAGATGACTTTACGGACGATGCCCGACCAATTGGTAAATATCTACATGTGCATTCTTTATGCTGTTCTGTTTATATAAATGTATTTTGGTAAATGTTAAATTCTATAACTGAATAAATGTTAAGTACTGCTATATTTTATTATTCTGATGAGAATTAGTTTATTGACTTTTTTTAAATAGTATAAAATAAGATTACTAGTTTAGTAAGTTGTCAAACTTTTTCCTTTATTCATGAGGTTTCTTACATCTTTTAATTAAACTTTCTCTTTACAAAGTTCTCAGACAGTTAAATTAATTTAGGAAAGTTGTTTTTTTTTAATTGGAAGCTTTTCGATTTGACTAAAAATTGAATAAATACATAATTGAGTATTATTTAATTCTGATTTGGATTTCAGTTGTACCAAAAAGCTTTAAATAATATTTTTGTACTAAAGCCAACCACTGCCATATGTCATTGAGCTATATAACTGCTATAATAATAATAAATTGCCAAACAATTTGATACTAAAGGGAGGCATTAGTCACCATCTCATAATAAATTTAATAATTATAATTTTTTTAATTAAATAATTTAGATTAATGTTTGGTAATTTATTATTATTATAGCCATTATATAGCCCAATGACATATGGCTGTGGTTGGCTTTAGTATTATAATGTGTTGGGTTTTTGTAGAGTTGTTTGTTAACATTTTTGTTGTAAATATTTGAGTAATTAAAGTTTTATGTAATTATTTTAACTGTACTCCTGCAAAATATATAGTTTATTACAAATAAATGAAATTTAATATTTATAGCAACTAAAAATCACATATTTTCTATGAAGTAATTTGAAATATAGCTGTTATAAAAATAGGAAATTTCAATAGAGTCTACCCTATATCATCGATTGGCTTCCTTATATTACCTAGTTTAAAGTCTGCTATCAATATTAATTATGTCAACATTAAAAATAAAACAAGTTCCTAGAGAATGATTTTAATATTCATTTTATAATCTGTTTAATTTTTTAATATTGATTTAGATAAACTTATCTCACATCAGATAACATTATAAGTCAATGGTATATGTAGTTAAATAAAATGACATTATTTTTTCCAACGTTGTGTAAATATTTATTGTGATACAACTGTATTGCCAATAAAATCAAAATGGGAACAATTTGGATAAGAATGATTTTAATACCAATTGTCAAAATACTGGTTTAATACATTAAAAATTTTTGATCTTTCATTTAAGTTCTATCAGCTAAATGTGACAATGTCCATTATAAATGGAAGAAAATGTTAGTTACGGTAAAATTTTTTGTTTTGCTGATTGTTGTTGTGATTTAAGAATAATTTTTGAAAAAATTTACACAATTAAATTTATTATCAAATTTAAAAAATATGTTCTTGATGAATTATTTTTTAAAAGTGGATTGTTGCCAAAATTTATAATTTTGAATTTTTAAAAAATTTTTATGAGTTAATGACAAATGGATGATGATTACTTAAAATGTATTGTTTTGATAAATAACAGATGTTAATTTTTATATTTTCAGACCTGTTTTCCGATGCAGAATCAATAGATGACTTTACGGACGATGCCCGACCAATTGGTAAATATCTACATGTGCATTCTTTATGCTGTTCTGTTTATATAAATGTATTTTGGTAAATGTTAAATTCTATAACTGAATAAATGTTAAGTACTGCTATATTTTATTATTCTGNGATACAAGCCACAGTTCGGTATACAGAGCTAAAAGTCTTTGAAAACAGCTGTTTGTCGACTTTGGCGTGTTATTCCCTTGAAAGTTTCAGGGGAAGATTGGTTTCTAGACAGATGTGCATCAGTTACCGTAAACACTCAAATATATCACTAAATTTTCGATCATTTATACTCTTTCAATAAGTGGGGACTGCAAAAATGGTCCAAAATACAGTATAAACTTCTATTGGGTTTATATTTTTAACAACATAGTGAAAGGAAGTTATTTTTTGTGATTTTTACTGTCCACAAAACTGATTGAAAAAATTTTAGCCATAACAATGCCGAATGAAAAGAAAGGACTGTCATTAAAAAGGAAATTTATAACTCTTCAAGCAAAAATAGAAATTTTGGATCAAATTAAAAATCAAGAGTGGATAGCTAATATTGGTAGGCACTTTAATTTAAATGAGTTGACTATTCGGTCGATTAAGCAATTGGGAGAAAAGATTAGAAATTTGGTCGCATCCGGATCATCTATTCTTGCAAAAAATGTTGCTCGTCTGAGAGCACCTATAATGGAAAAAATGGAACAAGCGTTAATATTATGGGTAGAAGATATGAAAAAGAAACAGCTGCCTTTAAATAAAACTGCACTTAAACACAAAGCCTTAAAAATATTTGATTATTTAAAACAAATGGGACAGTCGTCAGCTGATGAAACCAGTGTTAAATTCGTGGCTAGCAATGGCTGGTTTGAAAAATTCAAAAAACACCATTCAAACACCAAGTGTTTCTTTTTTTAGAACCGAATCCCAGTTTTTGTATTAAGTTGGTGTCTCCTATAACGCAATTTCCCACAATGCAGTATTTTCAAGGAACGTATCTACCGCATTGTAGGAGGCCTACCTGTACTAATAAGTTTTAATAAGTTGATGTTTCCCCAACCCACAACTCTAGGTTTGGGTAATTTTATGAAATACTTTGAGATGATAAATTTTTTTCTTTTGTGTAGTTAATTGTAATTTTTGTCAAAATTAGACCAAAGATTGTTTATATGTTGAAGAGGTTGGGAAGGGTAATATTTCTAAAATAGTAAATGAACCCCATTTTATGAGTAACCATTTGTATTAGTAATTTAATGTAAATCTGAAAATTTATAAGTAATGGTATCAATTATTAGGGATGAAAAAAGAATGCCAGAAAGTATAGTGACAATGTTGCCATTTTTTAATCAAAAGATAAATTTAATATTGCATTAATACATACAGTATTCAAACACCTTCTATCACTTTATCACTTTAGATGCTACAAAAATATTTCATTGAATTGTGATATAAATAGAATGGAAAACATGGAATAAGTGAAAACCTGATTGTGTACTTGTAACTATAAAGAACTGATTTTTTATTTTCTCATTATTTTGTAAATATACTTTTCTCCTTTGTATTTTTAACAGAGGAAATTCCATAAATAAAATTTGAAATTTTATCAAATGGAATGTAAATAAAGATAAGATTTAAGATCTTTTTCCATTATTTTATCAGAAGTCCATATCGTTTTAGTTATGTCAAAAAAGTATATTTTTACCATAACTATTATAAAACATTTTATATATTTTTTGTTGCTATTTTATTCTTCCACAGTTTCTTTTCTATAGACCTAAAAAGAATATAACCAACTGATATAAAAAAAACTTATCATTTTTATTGGAGAATTTTATTAAGAAGGTACTGATGTAAGTCAATTACTGCTACACATTTCATAATAAATTCTTATTCTCTAGATAATATGGAGAAACTAATTTAATCTCACTTTCATTTATTTAATAACTCATTAAGTTTATTCATAACAACTATGCATATTAGGTTTAATTAAGATTGCATGAAATATCATTTACATAATATCTAAAGTTAATAAGGAAATACAGATAAAATCAAAGAGAAGTTTTCTTTATTTTTAAAGTAAACTTTTAACGTAAAAAATTTGCAATAGGTTGTTAAATATCTAAAATAAATGGAATCAGTTTAAAATATTTAAACATTTAATGTTTGTAAATGGTGTGACACAATCAATAATTAAAATAAAAATTTAGTAATTTAAATTCACTCATATTTAATTTCATGTTTGAATTTTAAATGTTTTTTTTTTTATCATTATAGCCATAGATAAGTTTATTATAAAATACTATAAATTAGTTATTGTTAAGTTTATGTAATTGTAATTGATTTATATTGAGCATATTTTAACACTTGTAATCAATACACTTAAATATTAGATTTTCAGCTATATTTTTTAAGTCAATTTGAACATAGTTTTCTTAAGTTAATTATAATTTCAAGTGATTTTTCACAAATAATAATCTATACATTTATATTAAATCAGTTAAGTTTTAATAACTAATGTTTTTCTAATTACTTACCTGTCATAAGATTTAGAAGAATAAAATTTAAATAGAATGAGCAATTATTTATTGTGACATCGTCACAATGCTGGGCTGAAATTTTTAATCATAGTTTTTTAATTTATTTAATTTAAAATAAATGCTATCTACTTCAAATAAGTAGTATCTTGCCCCTGTACATCATACTTTTCCTGTTAGATGATGACATGACTGTTGCTCTCTAACTCCTTACAGGGGAAAATTTTTGAATTGAAATAACATGACTTTTGGTTTGCATCAGAAGTTCACATTCGCTTAATTGGAGTCTTCCACTCCTAAGCTTTCCATCTGGTCTCGGCTTTTATCTATCTAATTCTATTCTTGAGATTAAGGAAAGACACAGACAAGGAGAGTAGGAATTTATAGGTCTACGATATTTTCAAATTGCTGCCCAATTATACAAAATTCAATAAAGTATAATATAAAATATTATGCAATATAACTCTAACATTTATATTTAAACAAATTAAAATAAGCTGTTAATATTAAGAAATCATTCACAATAAGATGATCTGAAAAAAAAGAGTAAATCACAAACATTATTCAAAGTATTGCAAATGACATATTGTAAGAAAGAGTTTATTTGTTTTAACATAAAGTGGACTGTAAAGATAGAAATCTGTAAAATTCAAAAGTATTAACTTTATTTCAAATGTAATCAGAAAGATTTACTTTTACATAAAAGTTTGTTTTCTAAAATACATTTAAGACTTAAATAATTATAATATTTAAATTTGTTCCATTTTTTTCAAATGCTCTTCATAAGATTTTTGACAGTATTTCTTTCAATCATTGTGACTGTTATTTTCCACTTCAGAGAAAACTCTTTAATGTCTTTTGCTGTTTGTACTGCTACATTACCTATGTTTCATCGTCTAAAACCAAACATACATTCTTCTTGCCAATTAAATAATACAATTTTTGAGCTTTAGTTTTAATTATCTTTTGTTTTTCAGTCATTTCAGGAATTTTTTGTTTTTAATGTGATCTCATATCTGCATGCTGCTTAGCCCTTTAAACCATTATTGTTTATTTTCACACGTTTTTTTCTTTAGCTCTCATTGATATACAGTGGTACCTCAGGATACGAAATTAATCTGTTTCGAAACTGAGATCGTATCATGAAAATGTTGTAAGGTGAATCATTTTTCCCCATACGATTACATGTAAAACCAAATAATTCGTTTCAACACGAAAAACACACTCAAATTAAAGCTAAGTTGTACATTAAAAAAAAATAACTATAGTAAGGAAAACACTGAAAAATGCATTTTGTAGTTGTAAATGTATAAATAACCATAATAGAATAATAATTGATAAAAAAAAATGTAGCTATATTTGCACTTTACCTTTGAGGATAGACGACGGTGGAGGTATAAACTGGTGGTGGAAGAGAGAGAGAAGGGAAATGATACTAAAACTTAACTTACACAACATAACAAAAACTTAAAAGTAACTTAGAAAAGATTAAAAAATTAGTGTTGTTTTATATATATTTTTAAAATTTTTATTCACTGCTTTTTACTTTCTTTCCTTCACTTCCATCAGCACTTTCACTGGATAGAGGTCGCTTGGTAAAATATCTATCCAAAGAGGCTTTGCTTTGCCTACTTTTTAAAATGTTTCTAAAATGACTTAGGCAAATGTCATTACTCCGAGCAGCAATACGGCCAGTGTG